AAGGAGAGAGAAGAGGGACAAAGGATCAAGAAGACACATCTTGGTAAAAACAAATATCTTCATTAAGGCATGGTGCTCTCTACCCAACCCTATGGACTTTTAAGACCATCTTTGTCTCCTAGCTATATGCACATGAAAAAAATTAGGGATATAGCTATATAATATATGCTTTGAAACAGGTTCTGCCTATGAACTCAGAGATCTGCCTGCCTATCTCCTGAGTGCTGGGATTAAGGGGTGCTTCTGTGCAGTCCAAATATTGATCCCCTTGTGTTCCACCGGAGCCTGTGGAGTTACTGATAGCCTGTGCGGGAGACACATCGGCAATAGGAACCACTGGGGGCTATTTTTAGAAGCTGGGTTCTCTAAGAACACGTGAAAGCAAATGAAAGGGAGAATAGAAAAAGCAGCATGAGATCAGGGGAGATTGTATTCAGCTCTGACAGCATGTTAGGTCTTTTTCGAGATGAGGGTGGACTATGTATTTACCAGGCTCATTTCTCTGTTCCCCTGGCCACCCAATTGGACTGCATTCCCTGCCTTGCTTACAAGAGGCCAAGTGTTTGAATACAACCAAAGTAAATATTTTCTTCCTGTATGTCACCAGATGCTAGTGATCACTGAAAACCTTTAGAATGCAGAAACACCAAAGGGGAGAGCCAGAATTCCTGAATGAGAATATGAAACGCCTTCTCCAAACTTAAAAAACAAAAAAATGTGTTAAACCACTGAAATTTTAGAGTTACTTCTTGTTACAAAAAACAAAACAAAACAAAACAAAACAAAAAACTTGAAAAAGTAACTACAACAACAGGACATTGATACAGATATATATATGCTCACCAAGAGAATCTAGTAAAGAGGTCGGCACCACACCCACACAGGTAGTGCAATGCATTTCAGAGGGAAATGACGGCCTACTCATTTAGTGACGAACTTACAGCTGACTAACCCTATTTAAGAAACTGAAAATGAGTTCCTATCACCAAGCACAAAAACAACTGCCCTGGAAATTTAATATCAGCAGAGCTGTTGTTGGTGATGGTGATGATATGTGTGTGTGAGGGAATGAGAGAAACAATGAAGACAGGATGGAAGACATTTGCTAAGTTCTGGAAGCTCAGATCCAAACGCCTCTTCCAGTTTCCGTCTGACGCAGTCAGACAGCTAAGGTTTCAGGTGTTACCTGCAGCTAGTGTGGCTGCTGCCTGTCAGTAGCCACTGTCCCCGACAACTCTGAAAAGCCATATAGCCTCTCACCACACAAACTAACCCTGCCTTTGAAAGCCAGAGAAAACTGGGTCTCAACACAAGAGTAGCAGAGTCTGATGGAAGGAGGGCTCTACAAGGAAGATAGGGCACCTCAAGAGGGGACAACAGAGTCTCTCCTGGGACCCTCAGGAGGTCTCAGGAATTATCAGCCACGTCCCTTCATGGTCACCAGATACTGTGAGAAGAGAAAATTACAAGAAATTTAACCTAAACCTCTTCACTGGTATTTTTTGCAATCTAGGACCAGGTGACATCTCCTTTTATAAAGTAAAATGAGGACTCTGACATGCTGAGGTGGGAGTGACTTTAAAGACAGAAGAGGACCAAGGAATGGGAAACAGAACAGATGGCTGGTTGGTCATTTTAAGGTCCTTTGTCAGAACTTTGTTAGATGGGTAGATACTTAGAAGGCTGACTGAGCCTGCCTTATTGGGTCTTGCCTTTGTTTCTCTCTCAGCTGCTTTCTTGAGGGGTTGGATAAAGCGGTTCCGGCTTAGTGGTGTGTAG